AGGAGGAGTGTCTCCTCCAGTGGGTGTACCGTCGGTCACTTACCACGGCGGAGACGGACGCCCGACGGCTCCGGAGGATCAACGCCAAGCAGCTCCGGCTCGGCATTGAGCAATCCGAGCGGGAGGCGGCGATGATGGCCAAGCTCAAGCTCAAGCGCAAGCAAGACCACATCGTCCGGCGCTTGCAAGGCTACATTGTCATCTCCTCCTCCTCCTCCGACGGGTCCAGCTCCGACGTCGACCCACCTCCTGCTGCGAAAGCCTACAGCAGCGCCGCCGATCGGAAAGGCAAAGGGCCGGCAAGGAAGTGGTGAAGCTCACCCTCTCCTTTTATATAATCTAGTTCTAGTATGTATTTACAATGTGTCGGATCGTTGAACTGTGTAAACTATGCCTGTTCGGTGATCTTTTGGTAATGTTTATGTAAATTATGCCTCTTTGATATTGGTTTATATGTCCATTTTCTGTCGATTTTGATGGTTTGGTGATCTACGTACTATGTTGCATGAATTTGTATGGATATAGAATCCCGGATATGAGATATGCTGGTGTGGAGGCGCGGATTTAGAAAGTGCCCTGGATGCGCTTTTGAAGGGTCGGATTTGCAAAGTCTGGTTGTAGACGGTTTTATTGTCCATTTCAAGCCGGCAAATGTTCAAACAGAAAATGCATTTATGTTGCAATATGTATGACATCTGTGCTCACGGCTCAGTATCTGATAAAAAAACAAGAGCGGTAGTGGAGAAATGTTATGTCCTTGTGGTATATTTATCAATATCTGCTTTTCTTTTCCCTCTCGCAAGATGTTAGGGAAAGCCTTCCTCCACTCGATCTCCGTTGGTGAGTCCGTGGATTCGCCTTTCCTCCGCCCGCCACTCCGGCAGGCCAGTGGCGGGAAGGGGATTTCTGGTGACTCGTCTCCGGCTAGTAGATAGGTAGGGTGTAAGTTCGCACAGGGGCGGCGTTTGGACGGATGGCGGCGGTCCTTTTTCGAGTCAGTCTTCCGGGCTCCGATCCTTCTTAAGTTCATCCGTTGGGATGGATTAGACTGAGCTCCGGCGTAGATTCTTGTCAGCTCCTCTAGGCGGGGAGGTTAGGGTTTCTCGCCATGCGTACGTAACGGCGATATTTGATGTCAAATTCTCCAGATTGATATAAGGATTCAACGGCGATGACTACGGCTCCGGAACGCCTGTTCTTAGGGGCACGTGAACGAAGACTTCCTGAATGTTATCGACAAAGTCTTTTCGGCTCCAGTATGGGAGCCGGGACAGCGGCACATCGGCAGCTCATTCTTGCAGTTGCAATGGTCGTTTGGTGGTCCATGGACCTCGATGTAATTTTTATTATGTTTGAGGTTTTTTTATTTCAAGTGAATCCTTATAATAAATCTGATCTTTTTTTTTACCTGGAACACCATGCATTTCAATTAACCAGTGGACACGGTTAAATCACCAGCCACGGCACTGAGTACATCAGGAGGTAAATCATTGAGCCAAATACGCTCACTACCCCTCACCATCCTATAACCAAAACTAGCTAGTTTATGCGCAGGCAAATTACATCTGATCTTTTGGAAAAGAAAAGTTCGTTGAGAAAAGCTGAGAACGGTTTGAGCCGTTTTCCGGGCTCGAACTTTGCCAAAAACGCCAAGTTTACCTGGGCCCGAGGGAGCCACTGTCCCACGTCCCAGGCCACACGTGCACGGGGGCAACGGACGAGGTGCCAAGCTCGGCGTGCGACGCGGTTACACGCACAAACACGGCCTCGGCGCATCGATTGGCCGCGTAGGAAGGAAGAGTACAGAGGGATTAAATTGGGAGTCTGCACCCTGGAAACATGGGATCCTGGATGCTAAACAAACTTATTACAGAGGCCACGCGTACCGAGGGGCATGCGACGGAGGAGACTTGAACCGGAAGGGTTTGACCCCAGCCGCCCGACTAGACTAGGCAACATCAAACGAGAGGCCGCACGAGTGGGTTGGGTTGAGGCACACGGCCCGATCAACGGACAAGCACGACTGAGTAGGAGAGAGGCAGCTGCTGCGTCTGGCCCACTGGTCAGTGACCGACTCGACTCACTCCGTCGCCCGCCCGACCATTTCAGGACGCCATGATGTAGAACAATAGATGTTTTTTTCTTCGACGAACCGACAGGAGCGCTGCCTTTTCATTTAGACGAAAAAGATGATTTACATACAAAGATGGAGGTGATATATTTTTGAAGGGAACTACTTTTCGTTTAGACGAAAAAGACGGGGTTATGTAGGTGATAGGTTTTTGAAGGAATCTGCCTTTTCATTTAGACAAAAAGAAGTTTTTGAAGGAATCTGCCTTTCCATTTAGACGAAAGAGATGGTTATGTGTGAAGCTGACAAAACACCGAAGAACACTACTGATGCAGTAATCCATTGCAAATCTGTAGAACAAGTGTACAGATGCACCCATCAGTAAGGTCTTCAGTAGTTCGTCACCGGCAAGAGGCCAGTGAGTCGCACTCGTGGATGGATGCAGCAGCACTCCTAGTAGAAAAGAAAAGAACTGCGTGGATATCCACGAACCGACTCGTAGCACAGAGGTTTGACCCTAAGACCATCTATAATCCCCTATTACTAGCAGTGACCTCCCAACATCATTTAATTCCAAGGTCCTTGCACTGTTGGGTGCTCGGAGGACAGGGTCTGCAAAAAACTTGGGTCCATGGGATTTTGGGTTTCATACTTTCTTTTTCTCTTCTCTCTCTGGTTGGTGGTGAAGAATGAGGAGGCTACACTTGGATCCACGCAGGATTTTCGCATCAATGTCTGTAGAAGTTCCCCGTGATGCGCCCAATGCTGCACGAACGGGCAGGTCTGGATTTTTCCGGTTAAAGTATGGTGGCATGTGATTATGATGGTGGCCTAGTGACAGTGAGGCATCTTCATTTTTCCCATACCTTGGCTTCTTTCACCTTAGCAGCTGTAGCCCCATGCATGATGCATCCATGGTGCAAACATCAGATGCATAAGATTTATCACATGCCAGAATACTGCATTTAGAAGAGTAACCGATTTTGTCGAGAAATGTGATACAAATTATACACAAATATACTCCCTCTATCCAGAAATACTTGTCGAATAAATGGATTAAAAACGGATGTATCTTGAACTAAAATATGTCTAGATACATCCATTTCTCCGACAAGTATTTTTGAACGGAGGGAGTATAATGTATAAAGGATGACAACTAACCTTTGCTTGGAGCTGGAATTGGTTGCACAGGTGAAATAGTCAAGAGAGGTGTGCATCTAGTCCATACCAATGGATGTGCTGTTACAGACAAACGTAGGACTTTCAGAGTAGTGACAACCGAATGCGTACAAAGGTAGTTAACCCCCCTTGGCTGTAACACATCAGCAACTAATACTACATCACTATCCATAGAGTAAACTAATGACTGAGGCCAGATTTAACTCAGGTTTGACCATTCACATGCTTACAACAGCCAGAGACATTAGCATCTTTTCAATGGGACAGATAAGTAATTTTACCGGATATGACTCGTCTTTTTGGCTCCATTCTAGGAATGAGAAACGTGCAACTACCAAGGTGAGTGATCGGTATTTCCCTCGTTCTTTTCTTTGATTAATGATTACTGAAAATACAGGTTCATAAACATCAGTTTCCTCATTCGGAACTTTTTTATTCTTCTATTTTCTGTCAGGGGCAATGTTCAAATTAGGAGCACGCAAATTGAGCAAATGCATTCAAATTCGTAAGCAATATCCTTTGACTCCCATTTTCGCTACCGTTTAGCAGTTATCCTTAAAACATAAACTATAAAGGTGAGAGAGAAAAAAAGATAAGAATGAAAGGGAAAAGGCATGATTTGGAAGGAATTTTTGGATCAGGAGCGGGATCAAACGTGGGGAGGGGATATAGATGTTGATACCAATGTAAAATATAGTTGGTGTCAGAGGGAATTACACTCCCAGTGTTCCAATATAAAACTGTACTTACTTGGAATTTGGAAGTCTCTTGATGTCTTGGGAATTGTTACTTACTACACATCAACTATGGACAAGGAAGCCACAATAAAAAACATTAAGCTAGCAATCTAGTGAGCTAGTAGATTATTCTCTCAGAAGACATAATTATAAGCAGTAACACATATGTCTGAACTATGTCAGATGCAAAGCAACGTTAATTAACTAATTGCTAAGTAATCTAAAGAATGCTAATCCCAAAATGGCAGCAGAATTTGTACAGTTCATTGAGATCCTCGTCATGGAGTAAAGACCAAAGAGACCCTATAACAAGAGTTCAACGACAGGTGTATTCTAAAGATCTGCTATAAGAGCCTGTTCTTGCGTGTGTGCAAAGGTGTGAACAATAAGCCGAATAGCGGGAAGGAAGACCCTACAAAGGGAGCAGCTAAGAGAGCTAAGTGCAAGTCTGGGACTTAAGCTCGAGCTTCCTTCTCTCTTTAAGTAGCTGCATACCATAGTTCCCTCATAGTTTTCCTGCTTGCTTTGCTTGATAAAGAACAGGCAGTGCTTAGAGCTAGGTTGTTTAGGTTAGTTCAATCTTGCGTTCAAGTCATCGAGCGTGATCCCTCTTCCACCTCCGTGATCAGTAGAAACCCAAATCCTTAGCTAGTTCCTGTCCAGTAAAGTCTCACCTAACACATCAGTCATTAGGGTTTAGTACGCTGCTGATAACTAGGGCTAAGGTTAGCTTTGATTGGGCTAGTTACTTAGCATCCAGCCACCGGTTTGTTTTACGGTGGTAAGGATATGGAGGAGATCAGGAGTGATGACATGGAGAAGCAAGATGAAGTTATGTTACCTGGCTTCAGGTTTCATCCAACTGATGAAGAGCTCGTCAGGTTCTACCTCAAGAGGAAAATCCAGCAGAAGTCTCTTCCGATTGAGCTTATCAGGCAGCTAGACATCTACAAGTTTGATCCATGGGATCTCCCAAGTAAGCTTCTATAAACCCCTTGTGAACTATCTTTTGCTTCTCTGCACAGACCAATAAAGAGCTATGAAGCCTTTCTATTCTGCAATAAGAACATTACTTGCTCATATATCTTCTCTCCGCATGACCGGGATGAAGCATACATGCTCCATCTTGTTGGTACTTTGTAATTGAGTACATATTTTCTTTTCCCACTGGTTTAACAAGAGAAAACTCTGTCAATATTACATGCATATTTTGGTTAGTTGTCTATTTGAGGTTGTGCTACTGCATAGGGTTTTTTCCACCTCTTTTCTAGTGTCCACGAGTAGACAGCACCCATATATATATGATGAAGCCAAAGAAATTTTAGGGTTAAACCTGGGGAAAAGGCTTACCCGTGTAATTATCAGGATTGGAATAACTACTAACTACAGTAAATAACTGCATGCACCTTGACCCATATGATGTTGAGAAACTTGGCACATGATATCCCATCTTCGAGTTTACATGATCCTACTACTGTAGGTGCTTACTGAATATGTCTTCTAGTGGTTCATCATGTTAAGGCTGAATAGTTGATTTATAAGTTTCAAAGTTGGTTTCTCCATGGTTAATAAGTCCTGCAGGCATGATTCATGTGTATATCTCACTATTATTTCTTGACCATGATTGCACCAAACAGGGCATAGGATTTTTTTTTTAGGCTAACTGGCAGGTGTTCTGCCTTTTCATTAAGATTAGGAGAGAAACAGGGTATTACAAGAGGAGCAGGGGGACAGGGCATAGGATTAAGTTAACTGATCTTTGGTTATACACTGAGTTGCTTAATAGACGCCGTGAAACTTCTTTTTGCTCACGCTTACTTACCAAAACTTTTATTTTTCTCAATGAAGAACTAGCAAGCACTGGAGAGAAGGAGTGGTATTTCTACTGCCCAAGGGATAGGAAGTACCGGAACAGCACAAGGCCTAACAGGGTGACCGGAGCAGGCTTCTGGAAGGCCACCGGAACCGACAGACCAATCTACTCCTCCGATGGAAGCAAGTGTATAGGCTTGAAGAAGTCTCTCGTCTTTTACAAGGGTAGAGCAGCCAAAGGTGTCAAAACAGACTGGATGATGCATGAGTTTCGGCTGCCATCACTCACCGACCCTTCATTGCCGCAGAAGAAGCCACTGGAGAAGACCATTCCACCAAATGTAAGCAACTCGCATGCTGCAACTTTGAGAGAAAATAGCTCTGAATTTTTCACTGAACATGTGAACTTGAATGCAACTTATGTAGGATGCCCCCTAAATCTTGAAGAACATTGCTGCTACGTTAAAAATACATGTCTTTCAAACATTACACTAAGATAACTTGCAATATATTTCTTTCGGAAAAATATAAGGACTGCAAAACTGCAAATGCCTGCAGATATATAAATAGCACAATGCAAATGTTCAGAATATAGTGAATTTTATTATGTCAGACATGGATTCGCTTAATCTTTCCTCTCTGTTATAAGTGTAAGATATTGTTTACCTTTCAAATCACTAACCGACATATTTTCTTTCCATTTTCTCCTCATGAGCAGGATTCGTGGGCAATCTGCAGGATTTTCAAGAAAACCAACGCCACAGCGCAGAGGGCGCTCTCACACTCATGGGTCTCTCCTCCATTACCCAACACAAATGGGGCCTACATACCTCCCCACTTGCAGACCACACACAGAAGTCGACACACCTCAGAGAACACATCGTCCGCAATGACCAACATCATCTCCTCCAACATCCAGTTCAGCAGCAGTGGCTATTTTCCATCGATAATTTCCTCCTGTCAGAGCACTCTCAACATCATTGACAGCATAAGCAGGCCAGCTACATCCATAGTTCTCCCACCATCAGATGCAGAGCACCAGGCCATGAGTATCCTGTCGGCAATTCCGCTTGATCTTCCGGCTGGGATGGACATTGCATCGATGGTTATGAACGCGTCACCCATCACATTCTCCAACATGGACAGATCAGCCCCCATGAACATTGAGTTTGCGCAGCCGCAACAATGCAACAACAACAACATGATCAGCAGATGCGTGGTCGACCTGCCTGATATCGGCAACAACGTCGGCGGAGCTCCACGGTCCATGAATTTCCCATTCAACAACCTGCAAGGGCCGCTTTCTGATGACTGGAGAGCGACCGTGCCTTGGGACTCGCTCCCTTGCACCACCGAGGCCTCGACGAATTACCAGCCGACCAAATGCTACACTTAGTTTGTACTCTGTAGCAATGTAGATTTGATTTTAGAGTGCAGTAGAGAGCAGTACCTACCTCCATCTGCTAGTATTACTGTTAGCATGAAGAGGTATTAGAGTTTCGTTCTGTTAACAGTGAAGCTAACAGAACTAATGTGTGCTACAATGTAATAGGATGAATTCGTGCAACTAATCACCCTTCTGTGCAACGTAGGAGCTGTTGTAGGTTGTAGCCGTGCCCTGTGTAAACATAGCTCAGCTCCAATTTTGTCCATAGTTGCATGTACTGCAGAATTGTGCTATTTATGGTTTCTGAATGAACTGCCTAATCTGATCGTCTTCGCTTCTTTTTCCCCCAGTTTTGAGATAAATGGAGGGTTGTCGGTGCACGTACCTTTGTGTAAAAGGATCACTGGTATAGGAAGAAACAGCTCGCTTAGTCCGCTTCCCTGACAACAAGGTCGTCCGTCGTGCGCCCAGTAGGACTTGGCTCTGAACCGGCGGCGAATCGTACGGACTGGTCAGTCCACGAAGCCTCCCGCGTTGCGCATCGGCGCCAGGCAGTCTCGGTGGGGCATTTCGCCGAACGAGCGGTGCGCGTTCCCCAGGCACGGCTTTGTGGCCTGCTATGTACTTATGCAGGGAAGTTCGCGGAATGGCGGCCGCACCTGTCACTTGCTCGCATTGAATCTGCGGTCTCGACGGAGTACACGAGAGTTTTTGACGTTTGCGGCGGCCGGCAGATGATGGAAGAGCGGTTGCCGCTGCCGGCCCTGCTGCTAGAGGCTGCGGACATTTTGACGTTTCAGATTAGCACCAGGCCGTTCTCAAAAACAAAAGGATTAGCACCAGGCCGCCAGGAATTTACGGCTTACTTTGGTTCAGATAATGGTCCGAAGTCTACTACAGGCCGGCTTTAGACCCATGCGAGAATGATCGACCTGGTCACGAATCTGCAATGCTAAAAAAATCACGAATCTGCCAAAGTGCTAGCCCTGCCCATCAAACGCGAGCATGAATCTGATAAAATTCGTGATTTGGAAAAAGTTCATGCAGGTAGTGATTTGAAAATCACTATTCCACCTTTTAGGTATCATGAAAAGTGATCCCTGTGAAGATCGTGCATTTCAGTTCATGATATAATATAACTAAATTGGATAGACCTTTCACCTGTTTAGCTAAGAAAGAATAGATACAGAGATGAATAATACTAGATTGATATGAAGATCATGAGCTGCCCATAATGAAATCGCCAGTAGTAGTGAATATCTCCTTCTCTAATCCAAGATTGGAGAAAGAAGATCTAAGCAAATCTTTTAAAAATATCATGAGTTTGAAAAAAATTACAAATTTTAAAACAATTCAAAAAAATAGTTTACAAATTTTAAAAAGTTAGTAAATTTGAAAAAGTTCATAAATTTTAAATAGGTTCCGAAATATTAAAGAGTCATTAATTTGAAAAGGTTCAAAGATTAGAGCAAAAACAAAATTTAAAAAGTTATCAAATTTTAAAATACATTCACACATTTAAAAAAACATTTTTGTCAGTTTCGTCATTAGTTGTGTCATACTACTTAATTTTGCTACTAAAATCTCAACTACTAAAAAATGCCACTCAGCATTGGTATCGTCTGGTCAAATTAATGATCCATGTGAAGATCATGCATTTCAGTTCATGATATAATATAACTACCACCTTTAGGTATCGTGAAAAGTGATCCCTGTGAAGATCGTGCATTTCAGTTCATGATATAATCTATCTATCTATCTATCTATCTATCTATCTATCTACTATTTACTACCCATATAAAAGCACGAGAGGGCGGAGAACCAATACATCTCAGCCGTCTAATGGAGAGATCTGACGATCAAAATCATCTCAATGTTTAATGTTTAGCATCAACCACGCTGTTAGTGTATGGTTAAGCCACTAAACTTTCCTCCACGCAGCAACTCACGCCCTCCGCTTAATCCTCCTCTGCCCCGCTGCATCCGACGCGCCCAGCCGCTCCTGCCCCTCCGCCCCCACTCCTGGCTCCGCGCTCGGTCGCCCCTGCTCCCCGTCCGCCCTTGCTCCTCTACCACAGCCAACACTCCTCCATCAGTGCCCGCCACGCCCGGCCTCCCCCGACATCCGCGCCCGCCCGGCCGCCCCTGCTCCCCCGCCAGTGCCCGTTCCAGACGCCGCCTTGCGCGCCCCCGCGCCCGGCCGCCCCCAGCGCGCGTTCGCTCCACGCCTACCCGCGCACGTCGCCGACGGCCCTCCATGCCTCCCACGACATGCTCATGGAGCTCTTTCTGCAACAAATCCCTCACCAATTGGAGCGCCAAGGAAGCCCATATCCTTTCTCGTAAGTAATCATCATCAATAAAGAGCGACCCGCAAAAAAATCATCAATAAGGAGCGAGTATTAATGCTCAGTTATGTGCTTGTACTGATTTCTTCACTTCCCCATGGATTTACCTTCACACAGATGAATAATCATCATCCACCTGCATCTCCATTATGATCAAAAGAATGTTCTCCATTTAAGGACCTGACAATCACGCCTAATCATGGGAATGCAAATGCCCTAGGTGAAAATCTGCGAGAACAACTGAATTGGGGTCAAAATTGGGATGCCCAAGTGTCTGATGAGAAGATAATGGAATACAACAGGAAGCGACCTACAACCCTCTCCATTGCCCAAAGTAATCTAAGCTAGAGGAATTCTTATTAATGCTGATGACGTTCTACGGCAACACGAGGACGCTGGACAGGTGGTGGCACGTCATGGGTCTCGGCTACAACCAGCACGTCAGGCCCGAGTGAAAGATCGTGGATGTCGCCTAGAGGGGGGGTGAATAGGCGTTTTAAAATAATTACGGTTTAGGCTTGAACAAATGCGGAATAAACCTAGCGGTTAATTTTTCAAGCACAAAACCTACAACAACTAGGCTCACCTATATGCACCAACAACTTATGCTAAGCAAGATAAACTACTAGGTGATAACAAGATATATGACAAGAAACAATATGGCTATCACAAAGTAAAGTGCATAAGTAAAGAGCTCGGGTAAGAGATAACCGAGGCACGCGAAGACGATGATGTATCCCGAAGTTCACACCCTTGTGGATGCTAATTTCCGTTTGAAGCGGTGTGGAGGCACAATGCTCCCCAAGAAGCCACTAGGGCCACCGTAATCTCCTCACGCCCTCGCACAATGCAAGATGCCGTGATTCCACTAAGGGACCCTTGAGGGCGGTCACCAAACCCATACAAATGGCAACCCTTGGGGGCGGTCACCGAACCCGTACACTCTGGCAACCCTTGGGGGCGGTCACCTGTACCCGTCAAATTGCTCAGGGCGATCTCCACAACCTAATTGGAGACCCCGACGCTTGCCCGGAGCTTTACACCACAATGATTGAGCTCCGAACAACACCAACCGTCTAGGGCGCCAAGGCACCCAAGAGGAACAAGCTCTAGGGTGCCCAAACACCCAAGAGTAATAAGCTTCTCAAATTTCACTTCCACGTATCACCGTGGAGAACTCAAACCGATGCACCAAATGCAATGGCAAGGGCACACGGAGTGCACAAGTCCTTCTCTCTCAAATCCCACCGGAGCAACTAATGCTAGGGAGGAAAATGAGAGGAAGAACAAGAAGGAGAACACCAAGAACTCCAAGATCTAGATCCAAGGGGTCCCCCTCACATAGAGGAGAAAGTGATTGGTGGAAATGTAGATCTAGATCTCCTCTCTCTTTTCCCTCAAAAACTAGCAAGAACACATGAAGGGATGAGAGTTAGCAAGCTCAAAAAAGGTCAACAATGGGGGCAAAAACGAGCTCAAGAGATAGGGTTCATTGGGGAAGAAGACCCCCTTTTATAGGAGGGGGGAAATCCAACCGTTATGTGCTCAGCCCGCACACGAGCGGTACTACCGCTCCTGGTCCCGGTACAACCGGGACTCATAGTATACGTGCAGAACCATATCAGGCGGTACAACCGGGCGACCAGGCGGTAGCACCGGTTGAGAAGAACAACAGGAGCAACCGCCCAGCCACCGCTCAACCACCGCATAGGAACAGAAGGGAGTCACCCCTGAGTGCGGTAGTCGAGCGGTACCGGGCCGGTGCAACCGCATGGCCTTGAGCGCTCGGGCGGCTAAGTCCTGAGCGGTAGAACCGCTCCAGACAGCGGTGGTACCGGTACGACCGGACCAACCGGGCCACCACCGCCCGAGTACCGCATGAAAACAGAGGCCTGACTGGTACTTGGGCGGTGCCTGGCCGGAACAACCGCCCAAGTCTTTGCTGAGCAAGATGGCGGTACCACCGCCCGGAAGCAGCGGTACAACGGTTGAGAGCTTCAAGCGGTACTACCGCTGGGGCTCGTGGTACTACCGCTGGGACCAGACAAAAACCACTTCCAAGAAAATAAGAACTGCCATAACTTCTGCATATGAGCTCCGAATTGAGCAAACTCAAGCTTGTTGGAAACAAGACGACGAGTAGCATCAAAACAACGACTGGTAATAGTAAGAAGAGGAAGGGGAGGTATGCCTAACAAAAAGAGGAGTGAAACCTCCAACCGAGAAGAATCGGCAAAACCTCCAACATCGAAAACATCATAGAAGATGCATGCGAACTCCGTTTTCGATGAACTCAAGCTTGTCATCAAGATGACCATAAGCTCTAAGACTCACAAAGAGAACCAAACAAGAACCAAGAAAGATGATGTAAGGATGCAATGGTTTGAGCTCTCTACGAACGATACGATCAAGCTACTCATCGAGAGCCCCCCTTGATAGTACGACAATCGATCCTATAACCCGGTCTCCCAACTACCATCATGAGACCGGTAAAATAGAAAACCTATCAAGGGCAAACATTTGCCTTGCACATGGTCCACTTGAGCTAGATGATGACAAGCTTAACTCCCTCAAGTTGGACCACCTTTCTTGATTGTGTTGACTCGATGAAGACTAGTTGATTGCTCCCCCATACTCCACTATGGGTGAGCCACTCTTCCGCACATCTTCACAAGTCCATTATCACCACAAAGGACGGCAAGCTTCAAGCATTTGATCTCTTCATGATGCTCCACTTGAACTTGCACACCGCAACCTAACCCCACAAAGACCTCTCACGAAGACCATGGGTTAGTACACAAAGCGTAATTGACAATTCTTACCATAGCATGGGATCACTTGATCCCTCTCGGTACATCTTCTGCGCTTTGTGAGTTGATCAACTTGATTCACTCTTGACTTAGTCTTGATCAACCTTGAACCTTTCCAATTCTCTTCATTTGAATGATGTCTTGAAGGTAGACATGAATGATCACACAATCTTCTTCTTCAAGACATGCTTGCAATAAGCTCAACTCTCACATGACCAATCTTTGGATAATTCCTTGAATAACACCTTGGTCGACACAAACTCTCCTTGAAATCAACACATGCACTCTAAGAAAATCCTATGGACAAAACCTTCAAATATAACTCAAGGAAACCATTAGTCCATAGAGATTGTCATCAATTACCAAAACCAAACATGGCGGCACCGCATGTTCTTTCACCGAGGACATTCGGGGAGCCGCGGTGATACACTTCAACGGCAACTTGAAGCCATGGCTCGACGTCGCCTTCAACCAGTACAAGCATCTCTGGACAAAGTACGTGGACACCGACATGGAGTTCCTCACGCTTTGCAATTTCAGGCTCTGAATTCTGGAGAGTCCAGACGTACTGTAGCTCTGAACAGAGTTTTGGTTTCACCGTTTTTTCTTGGTAAATATAGGGGTCAGCGATTTGCCAACTTTTGGCACTTTCAACCTAAAGATGACATGTCTAGATGTTCCAACATTAATCAAACTCGACAGAGAGGACGCTGAAGTGTGCGATTCAAACTTGCTAGGCAGGATAAGCATCTGGCAAATGTTGTGAGTTTTTCTTTTTTTGTTAAACACAGGCAAAAGATTGGCCTCATCGATTAATTAAGTAGAAAACAAACCCAGTTGATTAATGAAAAATCAAGTGAATACTGATACAAACTAATAATATATGGACTACTCACAGAGCATGCAACTCCATACACGAACAATCAGCCCGACAATCATATCCAACAAGCAACAACCACCAACCACCTCGGTCGAAGACCGCGGACAACGCAAAATCCACGGAGACAAACCAGGCCATAAGGATAACCGAAGAGACTGACGGCCATCCATCAAGCAGTTGCAGACTTCTTTCCTGTGGTGCCATTCTTCTTTCGTTTGCTCCCGAGAGGCTCCTCCACAATCGTCTTGCCAGATCCAGGGCTAGGCGCCTCCAAATGTGCGAGCAAGGTGCGAAGCTCTATCTGGAAGAGAATCCCATCAACCTTGTCACACATACATGCCACCTGCCGATGTTCACGTGCGAGTGGGTGACCGCAACGTCGGAACCTCCATGGTCCACAAAGGCGAGCGGCTGGCTATGCTCCAATGATCAGGCGCAAACATACCGTCCACCTCAAGATCAACAACCACAAGTAGCACTGACACCATGGACTCAGACACATGACAAAGGTGAATCTTGTCCCTCACATGAGGTTGCCGGCGAGTCCACCTTCATATGCACCATAGACAGAGGCGAGTCAGGTCTCATGAAGGAAATATGCCCTAGAGGCAATAATAAAGTTGTTATTTATATTTTCTTATATCATGATAAATGTTTATTATTCATGTTAGAATTGTATTAACCGGAAACTTAGTACATGTGTGAATACATAGACAAAACAGAGTGTCCCTAGTATGCCTCTACTTGACTAGTTCGTTAATCAAAGATGTTAAGTTTCCCGACCATAGACATGTATCATCATTTGATGAACGAAATCACATCATTAGAAAATGATGTGATGGACAAGACCCATCCGTTATTTGATGCCTTCAACCAGTACAAGCATCTCTAGACAAAGTACGTCGACACCGACATGGAGTTCCTCACGCTTTGCAATTTCGGGCTCTAAATTCTGGAGACCTCTCAATAGAGTTTTGTTTCACCGTTTCTTCTTGCTGGGATTTCCACACAGTTGGGGAAACCCTATTTGCTGCATATAGTGGCAAAAAGTCAGAGCTTCGCACGAACGCCGACACATTTTTGTTTCTTTTCAGTGTTCTATTTCTGTTTTCTTTCTCTGTTCTTTTCTCTTCTCCCTTTTCCCTTCAAATTTAGTTTTCCTTTTTCCTTTTTTGTAAATACAATATTTTATAAAACAAATTATACCTTTTTCATAATTTCAATTTTTGTACATATTTTCAAAAAATATTAAGAATTAAAAAATTTATCTCCGTTTTGAAAAATATCCAGAACTTTAATTCTTCATTCTCGTTCCCAAAAAAATAAAATTCAAAAACTATTCCCAATTTTTCAAAAAATATTTGGGTTTCGCTAAGTTATTAGAGATTTCTAAAAAATGCATTTATTATTTTACAATTGCAGAAATATCTTTGTTTTAGTGAAATTTTCAAAAAGTAAAAATATTGTTTATGTTTAAAAAAATATTTTCTAAAATTGCCCTGAATGTTCAAATCATGTTCCCATTTCCAATCAAGAGGACAGGGGCAACCTTTGGAAAATCCTGCCCACACAGCCACACTGTTAGGCAAATTTTGAACATGCACGCACCACTAGCCAAAGCTAGTGCGACCAAACCAGAGCCACTACCACTTCCAAAAAAAAAAAAAAAACCAGAGTCACTAGCATTAGCGCATTAGTTTATCTTTAGTCCACTGAATACACTGGTTTATGTTCAGTAACGCAACTGAAGTTCTGAACCAAGCTCGCTGACAATGGGCTCGGATATCTGCCATGTCAGTTGGGCAATGGAGGCCGTCGCCGTCCGGCGACCGGGGCCTCACCACTCCGCTCACTGATCATCATCATCCTCCAAAGAGTCAAAGTGCCACCCCACCGGGCACACTGACAAAAATCCGGTCGCGGGACACCACAAGGAGTTGAACCCAACCAAACCCTCTAAACAAAAGCCCACCGGCGACGGCGTAGGGGAAACAGCGCGCGCGAAACGATCTCCTCGTCCACTCTCCGTTGCTCAGCGGCGTCCTTCTACTAGGCGCAGCTAGGAGATGGCCGGCGGCCGATCGCACGCGCCGCGCCGCGCGGCGTTCGCGGCGCTGGTCACGCTCCTCTTCCTCGCCTGCGTCTTCTTCTTCTTGTCCGCGACCACCATCACCACGGCGGTCCCCAACTCCCCGGCCTGGCGCCTGGCGGCCGTCCGCCGGCACGCGGAGGACCACGCGGCCGTGCTGGCGGCGTACGCGGCCCACGCGCGCCGCCTCAGCTCCGACTCCGCGTCCCAGACGGAGTCCTTCCTGTCCACTTCCTCGCGCCTCTCCGCGCTCTCCTCCCGCCTCTCCGTCTCCACGGTGGCGCTGCTGGAGAAGGAGGCCCGCGGGCACGTGAAGCGCGCGCGCGCCCTCGCCGCGGGCGCCAAGGAGGCGTTCGACACGCAGTCCAAGATCCTGAAGCTCTCCGACACCGTCTTCGCCGTCGGGCAGCAGCTCCTCCGCGCCCGCCGCGACGGCCAGCTCAACTCGCGCATCGCCGCGGTCTCCACGCCCAAGTCCCTCCACTGCCTCGCCATGCGGCTCATGGAGTCCCTCCTCGCCAACGCGTCCGCCGTCCCCGACGCCGACCCCGCCATCCCGCCGCCGGAGCTCACCGACCCGTCGCTGTACCACTACGCCATCTTCTCCGACAACATCCTCGCGGTGTCCGTCGTGGTGGCCTCCGCCGCGCGCGCCGCGACCGAGCCCTCGCGCCACGTCTTCCACGTGGTCACCGCGCCCATGTACCTCCCGGCCTTCCGCGTCTGGTTCGCGCGCAGGCCGCCGCCGCTGGGCGCGCACGTGCAGCTCCTCGCGGCCTCCGACTTCCCATTCCTCAACGCCTCCTACTCGCCCGTGCTGAGGCAGATCGAGGCCGGGAACAGGGACGTGGCGCTGCGGGAGCTCGACTACCTGCGGTTCTACCTCCCCGAGATGTTCCCGGCGCTGCAGCGGGTGGTGCTCCTGGAGGACGACGTGGTGGTGCAGAGGGACCTGGCCGAGCTGTGGCGCGTCGACCTGGGCGGCCAAGTGAACGGCGCGCTGGACACCTGCTTCGGCGGGTTCCGGCGGTACGGCAAGTACCTCAACTTCTCGGAGGCCGCCGTGCGGGAGCGGTTCAGCCCCAGCGCGTGCGCCTGGTCCTACGGCGTCAACGTGTTCGACCTCCAGGCGTGGCGCCGCGACCAGTGCACCGACCAGTTCCACCAGCTCATGGACATGGTGAGCTTGCCCACGCCTGAAACACGAACGATTTTGAGCTAGCTAGCTTGACGACGTGCTCTCCATTGTCTGTTTTGTTGCCATGGCAGAACGAGAACGGGACGTTGTGGGACGCGGCCTCCGTGCTGCCGGCGGGGCTGATGACGTTCTACGGCAACACGAGGCCGCTGGACAGGTGGTGGCACGTCATGGGTCTCGGCTACAACCCGCACGTCAGGCCCGAAGACATCCGGGGAGCCGCGGTGATACACTTCAACGGCAACTTGAAGCCATGGCTCGACGTCGCCTTCAACCAGTACAAGCATCTCTGGACAAAGTACGTCGACACCGACATGGAGTTCCTCACGCTTTGCAACTTCGGGCTCTGAATTCTGGACAGTCAGACGTAGCTCTGAACAGAGTTTTGGTTTCACCGTTTTTTCTTGGTATATATAGGGATCAGCGATTGGCACTTCCAACCTAAAGATTAAATCATGAGCACCCCGGTGTCAAACCAGACAATTGGATCGTACTTCTAACGTGCTTTAACATTTTCGACTCCATGCAATACATGAGCGTGAGACATGAATATAACACTATAGGTGGAATAGAATGTGATGATAGATCAATAAGGAGAAGTCAAGAGGAAGAAAGTCTCACATCAACTCGGCGGATCACCGGACTATGGAGATGCCCATCAATCGATATCAATGTTAGGAGTAGGGATTGCCATGCAACAGATGCACTAAGAGCTATAAGTGTATGAAAACTCAACGAAAACTAAGTGGGTGTGCATCCAACTTGCTTGCTAATGAAGACCTCGGGCATTTGAGGAAGCCCATCATAGATGAAGGAAATATGCCCTATAGGCAATAATAAAGTTGTTATTTTTGTTGGAGATATGTCCTAGAGGCAATAATAAATGTTATTGATTATCTCCTTGTTCATAATTATGTTTATGTTTCATGCTATAACTGTTGTGGTTCTTGAGTCTATAATAACCACGAGGCTCGGAGGAAGACTCATATGCACGTGTGGAATAATAGACGGTAAAATGTATTCCTAGTCTGGCCTCTATGACTAGCTCAAGTGTTGCATGATGGTTCTGTTTTCCTAATCATGGGCATGTCTATGCCAGCAACTTTAAGGGCACAATGTTAGAAGAACATTTGTGTTGAATCGACCCGGATTGATGTTTTGCTATGAGATACATCCATCACAAGTTTTATGGTTAATAACACAAAGATGGTTAATGCTTGCATAATTCCTTAGACCATGAGAGTATTGTTGGGGAACGTAGTAATTTCAAAAAAATTCCTACGCACAGGCAGGATCATGGTGATGCATAGCAACGAGAGGGGAGAGAGTCGTCTACGTACCCTCGTAGACCGTTAAGCGGAAGCGTTATGACAACGCGGTTGATGTAGTCGTACGTCTTCACGATCGACCGATCCTCAGTACCAAACGTACGGCACCTCCGCGTTCAGCACACGTTCAGCTCGGTGACGTCCCCGAACTCACGATCCAGTAGAGCTCGGGGAAGAGTTTCGTCAGCACGACGGCGTGGTGACGATGTTGATGAAGCTACCGCAGCAGGGCTTCGCCTAAACACCGCTACAGTATGACCGAGGTGGATTATGGTGGAGGGGGGCACCGCACACGGTTGAGAGAGATCTTTGTGATCAACCTGTGTGTCTCGAGGTGCCCCCTGCCCCTGTATATAAAGGAGCAAGGGGGAGGCCGGCCGGCCCTTGTTGGCGCGCCTAGGAGGAGGAATCCTCCTCCTAGTAGGAGTAGGATTCCTCCCTTTCCTACTCCTACTAGGAGGGGGAAAGGCAGGGAGAGAAAGAGAAGGAAAGGGGGCGCCGCCCCCCTTCTCCTAGTCCAATTCGGACAGGGGAAAGGGGGCGCGCTGCCTGCCCTAGGCCGACCCCTATCTCTTTCCCTTATGTCCCAACAAGGCCCATTAGCCCCGGGAGGTTCTGGTAACCCCTCCGGTACTCCGGTAAAATCCCGATTTCACTCGGAACTATTCCGATGTCCAAATGTAGGCTTCCAATATATCAATCTTTATGTCTCGACCATTTCGAGACTCCTCGTCATGTCCGTGATCACATCCGGGACTCCGAACTACCTTCGGTACATCAAAACATATAAACTCATACAACCGATCGTCACAGAACTTTAAGCATGCAGACCCTACGGGTTCGAGAACTATGTAGACATGACCGAGACACGTCTCCGGTCAATAACCAATAGCGGAATCTGGATGCTCATATTGGTTCCTACATATTCTACGAAGATCTTTATCGGTCAAACCGCACAACACTATACGTTGTTCTCTTTGTCATCGGTATGTTACTTGCCCGAGATTCGATCGTCGGTATCCAATACCTAGTTCAATCTCGTTACCGACAAGTCTCTTTACTCATTCTGTAATACATCATCCCGTAACTAACTCATTAGTTATCATGCTTGCAAGGCTTATAGTGATGTGTATTACCAAGAGGGCCCAGAGATACCTCTCCGACAATCGGAGTGACAAATCCTAATCTTGATCTATGCCAACTCAACAAGTACCATCGGAGACACCTATAGAGCACCTTTATAGTCACCCAGTTACGTTGTGACGTTTGGTAGCACACAAAGTGTTCCTCTGGTATTCGGGAGTTGCATAATCTCATAGTCATAAGAACATGTATAAGTCATGAAGAAAGCAATAGCAGTAAACAAACGATCAAGTGCTAAGCTAACGAAATGGGTCAAGTCAATCACATCATTCTGTTGGGGAACGTAGCATAAATTCAAAATTTTCCTACGTGTCACCAAGATCTATCTATGGAGTCATCTAGCAACGAGGGAGGAGTGGATCTACATATCCTTGTAGATCGCGCGCGGAAGCGTTCAAGAGAACGGGGTTGATGGAGTCGTACTCGTCGTGATCCAAATCACCGATGATCCTAGCGCCGAACGGACGGCACCTTCGCGTTCAACACACGTACGGAGCAGTGACGTCTCCTCCTTCTTGATCCAGCAAGGGGGGAGGAGAGGTTGATGGAGATCCAGCAGCACGACGGCGTGGTGGTGGAAGTAGCGGGATTCCAACAGGGCTTCGCCAAGCGCTGCGGGAGGAGGGAGATGTGTCATGGGAGGGAGAGGGAGGCGCCAGGGCTTGGGTATGGTTGCCCTCCCTTCCCCCCACTATATATAGGGCCAAGGGAGAGGGGGGGGGGCAGCCTTGGCCCTTCCTCCAAGGAAGGGTGCGGCCAAGGGAGGAGTCCATCCTCCCCAAGGCACCTAGGAGGTGCCTTCCCCCTTTAGGACTCTTCCTTTCCCTCTTCTCTTGGCGCATGGGCCTCTTGGGGCTGGTTCCCTTGGCCCATATAGGTCAAGGCGCACACCCCTACAGCCCATGTGGCCCCCCGGGGTGGGTGGCCCCACCCGGTGGACCCCCGGGACCCTTCCGGTGGTCCCGGTACAATACCGGTGACCCCGAAACGTGTCCCGATGGCCGAAATAGCACTTCCTATATATAATTCTTTACCTCCGGACCATTCCGGAACTCCTCGTGACGTCCGGGATCTCATCCGGGACTCCGAACAACTTTCGGGTTACCACATACTAATATCTCTATAACCCTAGCGTCACCGAACCTTAAGTGTGTAGACCCTACGGGTTCGGGAGACATGCAGACATGACCGAGATGACTCTCCGGTCAATAACCAACAGCGGGATCTGGATACCCATGTTGGCTCCCACATGTTCCACGATGATCTCATCGGATGAACCACGATGTCAAGGACTTAATCAATCCCGTATACAATTCCCTTTGTCTAGCGGTACGATACTTGCCCGAGATTCGATCGTCGGTATCCCGATACCTTGTTCAATCTCGTTACCGGCAAGTCTCTTTACTCGTTCCGTAACACATCATCCCGTGATCAAATCCTTGATCACATTGTGCACATTATGATGATGTCCTACCGAGTGGGCCCAGAGATACCTCTCCATCACATGGAGTGACAAATCCCAGTCTCGATTCGTGCCAACCCAACAGACACTTTTGGAGATACCCGTAGTGCACCTTTATAGCCACCCAGTTACGTTGTGACGTTTGGCACACCCAAAGCACTCCTACGGTATCCGGGAGTTGCACAATCTCATGGTCTAAGGAAATGATACTTGACATTAGAAAAGCTTTAGCATACGAACTACATGATCTTGTGCTAGGCTTAGGATTGGGTCTTTGTCCATCACATCATTCTCCAATGATGTGATCCCGTTATCAACGACATCCAATGTCCATGGTCAGGAAACCGTAACCATCTATTGATCAACGAGCTAGTCAACTAGAGGCTTACTAGGGACATGGTGTTGTCTATGTATCCACACATGTATCTGAGTTTCCTATCAATACAATTCTAGCATGGATAATAAACGATTATCATGAACAAGGAACTATAATAATAACCAATTTATTATTGCCTCTAGGGCATATTTCCAACAGTCTCCCACTTGCACTAGAGTCAATAATCCAGTTCACATCGATATGTGATTAACACTCAAGGTCACATCCCCATGTGACTAACACCCAAAGAGTTTACTAGAGTCAATAATCTAGTTCACATTACCATGTGATTAACACTCGATGAGTTCTGGGTTTGATCATGTTATGCTTGTGAGAGATGTTATAGTCAATGGGTCTGAATCTTTCAGATCCATGTGTGCTTTACAAATCTCTATGTCATCTCCCAGATGCAGCTACCACGTTCTATTTTGAGCTAGTCCAAATAACTGTTCTACTATACGAATCCAGTTTACTACTCAGAATAATCTAGATTAGTATCAAAGTTTGCATCGGTGTAACCCTTTACGACGAACTCTTTTACCACCTCCATAATTGAGAAAATTCCTTAGTCCACTAGTTACTAAGGATAACTTTGACCGCTGTCCTGTGATCCATTCTTGGATCACTCTTGTACCCCTTGACTGACTCATGGCAAGGCACACTTCAGGTGCGGTACACAGCATAGCATACTGTAGAGCCTACATCTAAGGCATAGGGGACGACCTTCATCCTTTCTCTCTATTCTGCCGCGGTCGAGCTTTAAGTCTTAACTTCATACCTTACAACTCAGGCAAGAACTCCTTCTTTGACTGATCCATCTTGAACACCTTCAAGATCATGTCAAGGTATGTGCTCATTTGAAAGTACCATTAAGAATTTTGATCTATCCTTATAGATCTTGATGCTCAATGTTCAAGTAGCTTAATCCAGGCTTTCCATTGAAAAATACTTTCCAAATAACCCTATATGCTTTCCAGAAATTCTACGTCATTTCTGATCAACAATATGTCAACAACATATATTCATCAGAAATTCTATAGT